ATTTAACGAAAATCAAGAAAATTTTACCTTCTGCTCTTGAAGCTTATGTCATTGCCATAACCTAAGTGAGTGTTTTGTTCTCCCAAGACTTGATCGAAATAACTGCAAAATTTTATGCATCATGCCTATCCTCGGCACACTTACAAAATTTATGTTCTTATTTGTAATCCAATCGCAAATAAATTAGTATCGTTAGATTCGTCAAAATATCCTTTTTTCGGAAGTCGCTTGTCAAAAAATGGTCGCCATTTGAAAAATAATAGACACGAAAATGTAATTTTGCCAACTTGTCTTATTCATATCTATCATACTTGTCACTGAAACTTCGCGATTGTAATTTTCACCTGAGGTCCTTAGATTTTTTTTTTTTTTATCGCTTGGAGCGCACGAAAGGGAATCCCTATAATGTTCAAAGAACATCGTGCGTTCCTAGGGAGGATAGGGACAGGAGGTAGGTATTGGAATTTTTCTTGAAATTTTGGAGATTATATGTTGTTGGGAATACTTCCACAGGCAATGAATTCCAGAGCCTAGCCGTTCTATGGATGAAGGAGTCCTGATAAAGTGCTGTTCGACATCTTTCGAGGTTGACAACGAAAGGATGTGCTGACTGGGCTTGTCTAGTTCGTCTGATTGGTATTGCTAGTGAAGGGATGATAGCAGAGATTTCCGAAGAACATTTCCCGTGGAAGTATCGATAGAAAAGTGAAAGGTCGCCGACTTTTCTACGGTGTTCCAAAGATGTCAAAGAGTGAGTGAGTGTGGCATCACCCACCAGGCGAATGGCTCTTCTCTGGATGGAATCTAAGAGCATCAGCGTATGTTTTGGTGCTGAACCCCATATGTGGGAACAGTATTCTAGAACAGGCCGTATCTGCGCTTTGTAGATCATGAGAAGCTGTTGAGGTGCAAAGTAGCTTTTCGCACGGAACAAGAATCCGAGTTTTTGTGAAGCAGCTTTTGCGATGGATCTGACATGATTATCCCATGAAAGAGTGTTGCTGATGGAAATACCGAGCATAGATATGGTGGGCTTGGTGGGGATGGTGGAGCCAGACATTACAATATCGGGCATACTGAGTTCCGCCTTTCTAGTTTACTTCCGATCATGGCCACCTAGATGTAATTTCAAAAGTGACTCCGAAAGCATTAAGTAGGCATAAAAACTTTCGAAAACGGGCTATCGGGAATGATTGTTCGCCAAATGTTGACAGTAAAGTTGTCATAGGTTCTCGAAAACACAAAGCATTGGCTGAGCCAGTTTTACACAACTGGAAATAGGATCCCTAAATCCTCTCTTCTTAATACTTGTACGCTTTTTTATTGAATACGACTGTACGTGTTACGGGTTCGATTTTATCTTCATTCGTGTCAGAGATAGATAGATAGATAGATAGATAGATAGATAGATAGATATTGAAAAATTGCATTAAGAATTTCAAAAACTCCTGACAGTTGTGATGTGATAACTATTCAAAGCTGAACAGCAGCCAAGTTTTGGTCGATTTTTGTTGATTCTCCATGGAAATGTATGTGGTGTTGGCAAAGTGCCGTGAGAAAAAATATTTCTCACAGTATGGGCAATACATGGTTTTGAAACTAAGTGAGCTATGAGAAATGCGCTACTTTTCATAGCAGAAGTAGAAAAAAGGGTTTTCAGTTCTGTTTTTATTTCATCAGTAAATACCTTGTCAAAAATTCAGATCTATTTTATGCTATACGATTTCCAAGGAATGATAATGAAATAAACCTATAACGTCAAAACATCATGTACTTTTGCGAATAGTAAAAATGAACAAAAATCCAAAACAATCAAAAATTAAACGTAAGAAATAAACTGTTATAACAGAGATATATAAAAAATTTAATTTGATCTGAATCACATAAAGTATTTTCCTTTTTTGGTTTATACTTATCATTAGTACCTATATGTTAATTTATTACTTATTTTGTAAAATTAATTTAGAGCTTGCCACAATATAATACAATTTATAAGTGTTTAAAAGTGTTTTTAACCGCCAGCTTAGTTGCAAAGCAACCCTCGAAAGTCAGAGACTTGTGATTAACTGAAGATCAATAATGATATGAATGTTTCAGAAGAACAATACGCAAATCAGGAGATCTACTGATAATTCAGTACAACTGACAACCCTGCAGCGAACGAAAATTTAGTGGCTCTGGACGAGAAGTACTTGCCTTCGTAAATAGTCGGTTTTTCGTTCTGAAATTAGAACGTGAAATGTGAATTTTTGTAGAGGTCGACGAAAAATTATTTTTTCAACTACTGCTATGAAAAGTAGCGCATTTCTCATTGCTTACTCAGTTTCAAAACTATGCTAATACTGTGAGAAATATTTTTTCTCACGGCATTTTGCCAACACCACATACATTTCCATGGAGAATCAACAAAAATCGACCAAAACTTGGCTGCTGTTCAGCTTCGAATAGTTGTCCCAACTGTCAGAAGAAGTTTATTGAATTCATTTGTGAAGATTTGTGAAGAAGAATTGTTTATTTGAAATAGTACGGTTGGGTGGAAGAGCAAGATTTGTTTGTCTTAGGGCACCTTTTGAACCCTGCCAATTGACAGGTGGACCAACAATATCATATGTATATATAATCAGGGTTGCTCATACTGTATATGGAATTATTCTCTATGTTATATGTCTTCCTGTTCAATAAAAAACCTTTATTATTATTATTATTATTATTATTATTATTATTATTAGGGTAGTTCTCATCAGTGCTCTTGATAGAAATCGTTCAGCTTTGAATAGTTGTCCCAACTGTCAGAAGAAGTTTATTGAATTCATTAGGGTAGTTCTCATCAGTGCTCTTGATAGAAATCGCATTTTCCATCAAATATCATTCCAACAATTCATAATAATTAAGAATATGATGTATATACCGAGATGTGACGATTTTGAGACAGAGATAATGGAAAAAGCTGCGAAAGTTGGATTTGTTTCCGGAAATTTCGAGAAAAAAGTATGAATTGGCACATTGGTACGAAAAATTCATAGAATCAAAAAAAAAAAACAGAAAATCTTTTTCGGAAAGTGTACTTTTTTTAAATACTTTGTGGAACTAGGAAAGACGTCTACTGTTCGGTCACAATATTCAATGTGGCATAGTGCCACATTATAAAATATAATACCAATAAGTTACATTACTCGGAATCTTTGAATAAGTGCAGTTGTAGAAGAAGTATAGTGTGCAACATGTGAGGAAAAGCACTTTTTTCACTAGTGTGTTTGCAACACATACAACCTTTCTTTGGATGGACTCGCCCTTCGGGCTCGTAGCACATACTTTCGCACTCGTGAGAAAAGTTGAACTTTTTCCACTTGTTGCACAATATAGTATTAAATAGGTACTGTCTGTAGGTTAACCGAGCAGGTGTATATTCTCCAAATTTTTTGAAATTTTCTCTTAAGGTGGATTTATGCACACCGCTCATTTACTAATCTGTTGCTTTCATTAACGGCCATCAAGTTTATTTTCATTAAAGGACTATGATACCTTTATGCACCACCTTCTCTTAATTTTAAACTCTCCTTCTTGATCAAAACATAGTCATCAGCGTACTTACTCATTACAATAAGGATCATTCATTCATATTGTTTTCAAAGTCTAATTTGAACATACGACTAGAATTTTCAGAATTTCCAACAACATTTTGGAAAAAGAAAAGGAAGAAATTGTTTGACTTCTGACAGAATCGCGCCTGCTCTAGTCACAGTTTCATTTGTATTTGTCGTTAAGAGAAAAAAGTTGGTCATCCTATCGCTCTTTGGATATACTGATTTAGCCTACAAAAAACTAGTTTTTCCTGAAATCGGGTTTGTTCGAGTTGGACGTCAAGTTTTGCTTCAATAAAGATGAAAAATGGCCTACTCAATCGGGGTCACGTGATTTTCGCTAAATGTCAAAAGTGACATTTTTTCAAATTAATCGCTGAAAGTAGGCTTATTTGTTCGAATATCGAAAAAGTTTATTTGAAAAAGTTGTTTTTATTTGAATTTCACATAATGTGACTTGGATTCTATCTTTCTATTGAATTTTTTTAGATTTCGATATTTTTGTAAAAATTTTCGAAATTTCTATAATATTAAAAAAATTGTAAATTCGATAAAACTACTTCATACCAAAAGCTTCATCATGTTACTAATTTTTAATTACTAATTATCACTAATTATCGACAAAAATATGATTTTTTTCAGAAAATGATAATCTCCTCTTCAAAATTCTATTATGTTTGATCCAAACTAAACATCAAAATTCTGTTATGTTTGAGTCAAGCATTCAGAAACGAAATTTATTAAAATTTATTTTTTCAGTACTGAAAAGATCAGTTTAAATGAATTTCGTTTCTAAATGCTTGACGATATATCGAATTTGCATCAAACATAACAGAATTTGGAAGCGGGTATTATCATTTCCTGAAGAAAATCATATTTCTGTCCATAATCAGTGATAATAAGTAATTGAAAGTAAGTAGCATGAAGAAGCTACTGGTATGAAGTAGTTTCGTGGAATTAACAATTCTTCAAATATTACAGAAATTTCGAAAAATTAAAAAAAAAAATCAAATTCTAAAAGTTGCAATAGAAAGATCAAATTCGGGAAGCATGTGTAAAATTGAAATAGAAAAAACTTTTTCAAGTGAACTTTTTCGATATTCGAACAAATAAGCCTACTTTCAGCGATTAATTTGAAAAAATGTCACTTTTGACATGTAGCGAAAGTCACGTGACCCCGATTGAGTAGGCCATTTTCCATCTTTTTTGAATTCCAAAATAAGTCAATGATAAAAGTTTTTCCCATATGATGCCGACTTTATGAATGACACTGTATAACTCGAAAGTGTATGTATGTATGAAATTAGCTAAGGAACCATATCCTATATTTTCAGTTATCGATTGAATCACACCCTGTATGTTTGTCTCCCTTCAAATTATCATCCTTGAGGTGTTTGATTTATTGAGCTTGCTTTGCAGGGCGCACAACACTTCTGTTACGACGAACACGGAGCCCTGTCTGTGCCTCTGCGTGGACCTGAAACCCTTCGAAGAGTGCCCCGACGATTGGGAAATTAAACAGAACCTTCCTATCATCACGCAGATCCGCACAATCACCAGCCAAGAGGCAAAACCTTCACCCAGGTTGCATGGTATATTCAATCAGGTTAGATTCCATGATTGTATAACAAGATTTTTCATTCCCATATCACAATACACAGAACTCCTGATCTTTATATCTAATTTTGAATTGACTGGGCCGTTACTTGATGGAAATCCATGACAAATGTAAAAACTTCACGAACAATAAGATTTCCACAAAACTCTCAAACACACGATGTGTTTCCCTAACTCGGTAGCTTCGTAAGGTGATGTACTGGTGCGATGAACTAAACTAACGTTGGCTTGCTTAACTTTTATATATCTCACTATCCCAACCTGAACTTCATAAAGTTATTCAAGAAGTTTATCCTACCATCAAGAATAATAATCAAAATTATAGAACTTCAACCTATTTCGGATGATCAACTGAGAAATTAGCTTCATTTCTACATAAACAGGACTTGAAACAGAACAAATAACACGTTGGGACGGTTTATCAAGAATAATAAAGACAAAACTTTTAAATTAGAAAAATCAGGGGTATACAAACTCAACTGTGGATCTTGTCCTAAGGTACGACGAAAATAAAGGATTGAAACTCAATCATTTTGAATCATTAGAAATCAAGAAACTAAGAAATTTTGACATTTTACTTAATAATCAATTAGACATCAATAGTTCACCACTGTTGAATTTGTTTTCTTAGTATATTTTGTCACAGAAAAAAATAGTGTTTTTTCTGTGACGGGAAAAAAATTTGGCATTTCATCTCTGTTGGCAGGTTATAAAATGTCACTATTCATAAATTACTATTTTCCCGTGGGAAAAAAGTGAGTACTTTTTTCCCGAATGTATATTCCTTCCTTCCTGTGACATATATACACACTGTTGATGGCTTTTGTAGTGCTATAGTTCCGAAAAATGAGTCAATAATACCGTCTCCGAGAATGAACTGCAAGTCCTTTTATCTCCCATTCGACTTCGCGGTTACGTATATTACTAAATAACCACTAAATTCGCAATTTTTTGAAATCAAATCACAGAATTGAACTGACAGAAGTGACATCAGATATTTGATTACTTCAAAAAAACTTCAAAAGAATGATAAAGATGCCTACAACGAAGGTGTACCTACTGTTAAAAATTTAAAATTTCACGTCGATAATTTTCAGATTTCAAAATGATGTAATATCTTCTCAATATTGATTCGTCCATTCTCCTGTCACAGAAAAAAATAGTGTATTATACACGGGAAAAATATCAGATTTTTTGTCTCCCTCCGCTACGCGTCGGGAGACAACACAACCTGGAGCTAAAATCTACTACTTTCTTCCCTTGTATAATAAATAACTAATTTTACACGGGAAAAATATTAGATTTTAGCTCACGGTTTTTTGTCTCCCTCCGCTACGCGTCGGCAGACAACACAACCTGGAGCCAAAATCTACAACTTTTTTCCCTTGTATAATAAATAACTATTTTTTAGCATCCTGTTTTGCAAATTAATAGAACAGCAGCAGATTCTCTAGTGAATTGAAACATGATATGGTATAGAAAAGGTACTATTTTTATTATGCTACAGACTTTTAAAATAGATTTATCTCAAAAATGGCGACTACTATCGAAATTAAACAAGAGTGACATTTTTGAGTAAAAATGATATTTTCATATTTCCTGGTCAAACTGCAAAAAATTGCCTGAATAAAGAAGTTGGGGGAAAAAGTACCCACCTCGTACTTCCACGCCCCTGATCCAAGTTTCGGAAGATTCTTAACGTTTTCAAATTAGGCATGAAAATTTAGGAGCATGTACAGGGTGCACCTCTTGAAATGGAATCCCCCCCTTAACTTTTCCGTTTTCAGAGATATAAAAAAATGTCGGATGAAAAAGTTGTGTCAAACGACCCAAACTTTTATTTCGTGAAGTTGTTTCATATACAGGGTCATTCGATTTTCCAGAAAGGGCAACAACTTTAATTTTTTCGAAGGAACACGCTATATAATTCACAACATGTGAATAGAGCCTTCCTTTCTGATTTCAAAAATATATATGAGTTGCATATTTAGTTGAGATTATTGATGATTAAAATTTACCATAATACCGCATTATGAACCTTCACTTCATATCATCTAATCTAAGTTAAATATACTGGGCTTTGAAATAACGTTCATATATTGTTCAAGCTCTATGCAAATGCCATAGTATTGTTTATTATGGAATTGTAATCGTTCAATCTCAATACAAAAAAATATGAATAGACATTTTCAATGGAAGATTCGGTATTTTGTTTAACTTTGATAATCAATATCTCAATTATTTTACATCCAAATATGCGACTCATATATATTTTTGAAATCAGAAAAAATGCTCTATCGACATGTCAGAAAATATATATGCTGTTCCATTGAAAAAATCAAAGTTAATGTCTTTTCCGGAAAAACGAATGACCCTGTACATGAAGCAACTTCAAGAAATACAAGTTTGGGTCGCTTCAAACAACTTTTTGATTCAACATTTCTTCACATCTCTGAAAACAAAAGAGTTAAGGAGGGGTTCAATTCTAAGAGGCGCACCCTGTACAAAATTTGGTTTTTATCACAGTGAGTTTCTGGAATATTTTCATAAAACCATCATCTCGGGCACTCCTCCAGGTGACTATAACCCCCCAGGGAACCATTTCTGGACCCATGTTTATATGACGTTTTTTTTACTATTTTTGTTCCTAGAATCTGTGGTTGAAATCTTTCTATGTAATTTCGGGACACCCTGTATAATGAATTCGACGTAATCTGAAGTTGAATGTAAATGTTATTTCACCTATAAACGTCAAAAAAATTTCACTCCTCCAAGGAGGAGGAGGAACAAATTTCCAGAAATTTGCTTAGTTTCTATGTTCTATGGTAACGATACAAAATACAGGCTTTTAATTGGAAATTATCAAATGAAGCATTGAAAAATTGACGAATAATCAACTTTTCTAATTGGATCCTACTTTTTTTTATTATTTGTTTCGTAATCGAAAACACTTGCTTTCTGAGGAAATCATAATATCATCGTTCATACATTTTGAGCAATCTTCCATTGATACAGTAGCTATTTACGACCTAATAAATATTATCTATTGTTATTTTTAGCGCATATTTTGTTCCATGTGAACAATGTCAGTAAATTATTCAATGCCGGATATAACTCAGTTGCTATGAATTTGAAATATTATTGTTCCTGTCAGGGACACAATCTAAGAACAAAAAAGTCAAGAGAGAAGAGACGATTTGAAAAATCGGATGGAACCTGATTTCTTCATGCTGAATCTTGCTAGCTTTGAATATTTGATATATATCACTAATTATGTCCCATATCTTAAATGTCTACTAATGACCAAACAATATTTTGAAATGATATAACTTTTGAATTAATCTGAATAAAATTTTATCGAAAGGGTGAACGACATGACGTCACGCCTACCATTGATTGTTGTTTTGACAAGAAAAGTCTACCTCAAAATTTGTTTTCTACTTCTGAGAGATATTTTTTCTATTTAATATAATTTTATTAAAATCAATGCAGTTGCTACAGTTTAATTTTCTATTCAGAAGGTAAATACATCTAAAATACTGAACCGGCAGTAAAACAGTATATTTTCCTCTGAAACCATACGCACAGCAATAAACTAATTGTTTTTTTGCAGGATGAACTATAATTATTCTAGAATGATTGAGAAAAATTCGAATTCAGAGCAGGATCTAGAAGGAATCCTATATCGTAAATTTATTCCATACTCAATCCATATTCATTCTAATTTGATATGAAAACCTATTATTCTTTGGTTCTCATGAAAAATAGGTTCAGGAGTGGAATAATTTTTTATTTCTTCGTCTTGTAGCCATCTGATTTCCTCTCAAGTAATTTGACATTCCATGAGCGATGAGATTTTTTTGAAATAATTATACAATATAGTCATTGTGATATCAGATACGGGAATAAAATTGATGACGTATGTACAAAGTACATCATTGATGTATCGAACGCAGTAAAACAAGAGCAATTTTGTATTATAGCAATAGAAAAAATGAATTTTTGATAAAAATGTGATGTGACTGATTTGATTCATCGATAAGTGACACAAAAAATATTTTTTTAGAAAAATTAACTATTTTTTAATATTTTTTTAGAAAAATTAACTATTTTTTAATATGTCATTTGAAATAAAGATTGCACTTGTTTTGACTTCTTTCACTTGAAAATGTAAAAATATATAGAGTGTTCCATTTGAAAAAGCAAAGTCGCTGGCATTTCCAGAAACCGGAAATCCGCCATATTGGATTGTAATGTGATCAAATCAAAATTTCAGAAAAATCCGTTTACGAATGCAGAAGTTAGAGGGGTGGTCCGATACCCTGTGTCACCCTGTATATTGAGCTACAGGAGATGAACAATTGTTCTAAAATGTTTCTATCCGTCATTCGGTTGTCCCCTTACCCTCAGTCTTCGAGAGACTTGTGCGAGCAAGGAATGACGGGGGCCTTACGTTTTATCGTGTGATCCCAAACACTTTCTTGGACCATCAGAAAAACTTCCGCAGTCGCGGGAATTGAACCCACGACCGGCAAGCGAATGCGAATTCGTGGATCGAAGAACTGATGTGTTAACCAACAGAATATATAATATATAATAGAAACTTTCGTGAGAAAATTCCTTCTTTGGCAGCTTCTGTTAGGCTCATATATTCCGCTTCTGCAGTGGATAAAGCCACAGTAGGTTGTTTTTTAGTCTGCCAACTGATTGCTGTACCATTCAAGAAAAAAACATATCCAGAATACGATTTTCTGTCGATGCTATTTCCTCCCCAATCTGCATCGGCAAATCCTTCAATATTTGAGTGACTTATAATTCAGCCTCAAACTTTCTGTTCCTTTCAAATAGCGCAGAACTCTTTCCGCAGCTTTCCAATGTATTTCCGTATAGAAAAATGATAAATACATCATCTTGCCAATTAGTGACGTGAATGGAGATTTCTTCATTGTTTCATCAGGAACATTCAGTTTTTTCTCCAGTTTAGTAGAAACATCTAATGGAGTAGATATGGCTTTACAGTTTTCCATTCCGTATTCTTTTAAAATGTCTTTTATATATCTCTCTTGCGATAACTATATCATTATTTTTCTGTCTTCAGAATAGCTGAATGATATTCCAAGACAATAATGTGAAAGTCTTTTATTTTAAAGGACCTAGTCAGCTCACTCTTTATTTCTTCCAGCCACTGTTTATTGCGACTGGCCAAAATTATGTCATCAATATATACAGCTAGTATCATTATATCCGAATCTCTTCGTGCATTGTATACACATGGATCAGAAATACAAGGCTGCATTCCGAAAGTAACAAGTTTATCGTGGAGCTTGTTAACAAATTTCTAAAAAATTGTTCTAAAAATTAATGCCGGTAGCAATTTCAGGTGGGGAAAACCCTGAATATGGTACAAAGAGCGTTCAACTTCGGCGAAGAAGGGAACGCTTCACTGCAACCGCCGAGGCCCCCATTGTCCGATGCGGAGTTCAGGAGGTTTCTCGATCCGGTGGGACAAATCATATACGCCAAAGAATTACGCTCCGTTATCTATTTCGGAGGAATCGATCCTGGACTGAGGTGAGCCGAAAGATACAGTGGTAGAAAAACTATATTTTTTTGTTACGGGAAAAAAAGATTGAAATTTCATCTCTGTTGACAGGTTATAAAATGCAATCGGCTCAAAAGTCTTCCATTTTTGTTCCAAAATTAGCTCTTGAAGTTGACATTACTCTCAGTGATACAATAAAATTATAAGTATACAGTCTGTCCAAGATAAGGTTGCACTGCATGGGGATCTCGGAAACGGTAGGAGATACGAAGTCGGTTAAATGGGGAAAAAGTTGCGCATTCGGAGGCTCATACCAACAGCCTTCGAAAATTTTCAAATTTTTTTTTAGTTGAAAAGGAATATTCTCAGATAAATTATGAACATACAAAAATGGATATATATATTTATAAAAAGCAATACATTGAGAATTCGCATTCTCTATGTGATGAGAATATTTACTCTTTCTCAGTTGATTCAATAGAAAACAACTACTTTCCTGGCTATATGCCACGACGAACATTGAATTATATCTATTGAACACACACGATAAGAGTTTGAAAATAAAATATAAAAACTTCTGAAATTGAGAATTTGCATTCTCCTTCAGATAAAAATATGTATATGCACACATCATTCTGAATATTCAACAGAAAACAACTACTTTCCTGGCTATTTGCCTCGTCGAACATTGGATTATATCAGATGAACATTCAAAAGGAGAACATGAAAAATGAAGAATAAAATCCTCCGAAATTGAGAATTGACATTCTTCTTCAAATCGGATGAATAATATGATGTATAATGATATAGAAATATAACTTACCAATATATTCAGCATTGAAATGAAAATTGGAATGTATAGGAGAAGTATACTGGCATAAACTCTGATCTTGATGAGCTTGAAAACTTCCAAAAATAATCATTCATATCAGTGATATGGGAAATATTATCAGTTATATCGAAAAAAGTGAATTTTTGGAATCTCTATTTTATTTTTTTTCTCCGTTATTATTAGAGATACAGGAAAAATGAAAATACTTTTTCATAGCAACTTTTGATGACGTTTAACGTGGTGATACCGATTTTTCTATGCGACGTTTCGTATTCGTAGAACCATCATCAACTTTTGTTTTTTAAATACGGCCCTGATAATTCTTTCACAGATTCTGAAAGCTTTTTTTATTCTGAATTCAACCATGTATTATACAAGGTGGTTTGAATGTGTTTCGAACTATTTTTAGCCATCATCAATGTTTTTTTCGAAATTCCAAAGGAAAAATGCCATCAGTTCCACTTATTTTGAAGGAAAATTAGCCAACAAACTAATACCCCATCAATTAGTTCCGATTGATAGACTTATAGGAATAATTAGTTCGAAAAATTTAATTATGACAAGCTCCTTCGGAATTTAAAATATGAATACAATTCATAAACAATTCGAAGCGCTGCATTGAATAATTTAGTGGATTTTTTTTTCACTTTTCAGTATTGAATAACTAGTCCATCAATGTTTGACACTGAATAATCAGAAATAAGTTGAACTGATGGCACTTTTCCTTTGGAATTTCGAAAAAAACTTTGATGATGGCTAAACATAGTTCGAAACACATTCAAATCACCTCGTATAATACATGGTTGAATTCAGAATAAAAAAAGCTTCCAGAATCTGTGAAAGTATCATCAGGGCCGTATTTAAAAAACAAAAGTTGATGATGGTTCTACGAATACGAAACGTCGCATAAAAAAATCGGTATCACCACGTTAAACGTCATCAAAAGTTGATATGAAAAAGTATTTTCAGTTTTCCTGTATCTCTAATAATAACGTAGAAAATAAAATAAAATAGAGATTCCAAAAATTCACTTTTTTCGATATAACTGAAAAACTAAACAAAATTTTGAAAATTTTCGAAGGCTGTTGGTATGAGCCTCCGAATGCGCAACTTTTTCCCCATTTAACCGACTTCATATCTCCTACCGTTTCCGAGATCCCCATGCTGTGCAACCTTATCTTGGACAGACTGTATATGTAGGCAACACATTTAGTGTCTAGGAGCTAAAGTTGGATTTTAACTCCTAGGAACCAAAAATGTGTCGGATGACAGCTGCTCTGACACTGACATGCTCAAGTGACTCAAAAGAGTGGTATTTTCACTTGATAGATATTGATTAGATATAAATTATCTCGATTGCAGAAAAAATAGCATGTTTCATTACGTAGATTAGGTTCTGAACAAATACGTTAGCAATTTTTTGACATCAAATCACAGAATTAGACTGAGAGATAGTTGATTACTACAAGAGAATAATAAAGATATAACGTAATATCTTCTCAATATTGATTTGTCATTTTTCCTGTCACAAAAAAGTCTATTATACACGGGAAAAATATTAGATTTCAGCTCACGGTTTTTTGTCTCCCTCCGCTACGCGTCGGGAGACAACACAACCTGGAGCTTAAATCTACTACGTTTTCCCTTGTATAATTAATAACTATTTTAATGCAATGTGAAATTTCTATTTTTTCAATGATCAATGAATTAATACTATGTGCTCAACATAAGTGTACAATTTTGACTCCAGTTTTGGCCTTTGGCCATTCTAGTGTCTGTGTCTAGTCTTTCTGTTGATCTTTCGAGCATGTGTGATAATATGCTTGTCGGGTGAGTCAACTCCAAAATATTCTTGCATTATCTATTCTAATGTCGGTTATCTGAAGGTTTTATTTCATCCATTGTGTTGTACCAGGTGAATAACTAAGAACGGCTGTCGGCGTGATCTGGAGTATCAATAGATATCGTGAATTAAAAATGTGTTGTATGCTTACTATTACACGATCAAATAGAGAAACTGAATGTCAACAGACCAACGAAAACTGCAACATGATAGCTTTTCGCTAACGGAAGATATTGCAAGTTGGAAAAAGGATTGATGACAGTTGTCCTTAGTTGTTCACCCGGTAGACTAGCAGGCGCTTTATAGTAATTAGTTGTGATTTTGGTGATTTTTGCACGTTTTCAACGTACTTCTATGTACTGTGTTACTTTCAACAATGTCTAATAATACTATTTTTATATTTTCTCGATCACTTCGTCACAGATCGAGTGATATTGAAATATTTACTTCTGAATATTAGTGATGATCCAATTCAAATCTTATTCAACGTGATTAATCAAAGATCTAAGAAATATCTACTTGCAGGCAACTATCGAACGTTATTCGCTATCGCCATTTTTATGAATTGTGGCAATGTCGCTTCGTTCTCTGCGTTTCTACTCGTTTTATAAACCTTCCATGAGAGGCTAGCTCTCGATCAGGCCAATTTGGTGTGGATAAAGGGGTCTTGCTCCAAATATCATTCTGATCATTATATATTTTTTTCGATAATTATGTCATTCAATAGTACATCTTGAGCCTTCTTTAAGTTAAGATTTCAGATTTAATGTATTCATTTCGTTAACATCCTGTATATGTCGATAATCCTAAACGCTAAACGTGGATTCATTGATGAAATGACGAATGGTAGGGGTAATACTGCGGAATCATGAGCAGAGAAACGAGGGCATGCCATTGATATATGAGGAATATATAATAAATAATACATTAATTCACAAAATCATAGTATGTGGACAATCACAACTATAAATATGCATTTTTAGACTTTATAAGAACCTAGCGTTACTTATACGTAACATCATGATTCTGATAACAAAATCAAGATATCTGGATAACATTCGACAATTTCCAAGACAACATAGAAACACCGACAATAATATTGAAAATAATTTGATTGAAATATAATTTATTTAGTACTTCCTACAGTCGGAGGTACGAGTAACTTTCATAAAACGTGGCCTCTCAAATTGAATCCATAGAAACACAGTGTACATGACCCCATATTCTATCAAGATTAATCAGTTGTTGGGTTCACAGTTTTGGTTAATGTGAAGATATCTGCCTCGAATGTCTGTAGATTCCGGTTTAGAATATGGTAATAATGAAACAAATTACAGGGTGTTTTGTTTCTGTACATATATATCCTCACAGACTCTGGTGAATGGCAGAATAATACTGTACCTAAGAAATTACTGTTTCAGGAAAGTCGTTTGGAAACACCTGTTGAACGTTTACCCGTCAGGCATGACAGGCAGAGAAAGGATGGACTACATCAGGAAAAAAGCGTCGGAATACGTTACTTTGAGGGAAACGTGGAAGACGGCGATCGCTCAAGGGCCGGTGGTGGGAGAGTTGGCCTACACCACCGGCATGGTCAGAAAAGATGTGCTCAGAACGGACAGGCATCACCCGTTCTACGCCGGTAGCGACGATAATCAGAATATCGCCTCTTTGTTCAATATACTCACTACGTAAGTTTTGTTTTTTTCTGCTGGGTAATTTTTTCTGATGTCAAGCTATAGATCTTTTCAAACTCCTTTAAATTTCATGGAATTGCTGAATTATTCAATCTGTTGAGTTGGTCTTCCTAGCGACGATAATCATAAATAATATCGCCTCTTTGTTCAATATACTCACCACATAAGTTTCATTTTCCATGTGTTGGGTAATTTTTCCTAATGCAAATTTACGAATATTTTCTAACTTCTGTATATTTTATGGATTTGTTGTCTAAAATTAGTGAATTATTCAATCTGTTGAGGTAATCTGTTATCTGATATCACTAGATTATTCGAATAAATTGAAATATACAAGGTAAGGTCACTGTTGAAATATCGTCTCTAATTTGAACTAGATATAAGATATAAGAAAAAAATCTTTGTTTTCATAAAAATATTTGCAAAGTATCAGTTTGTCGTTAAAGTCAGTCTTCCTATATGTTCATTATACAGAAAAGTGCACAAAAAACGGCCAGTGCTGTAACTTCTGAATCGTTTGAGTCAAATTTTGAAATTTTGTTAGTAGCAGGTACCTATACCAAATTGCCTTTTCAGTTTGACCGGAAACAACCCCAAATTTTAATTTTCAATCAGAACACACTAAGTTTCGATAAAAAAGTTTCTGGTGTGTGTGAAACAATCTTCTGAATCCGAATATGAAAATTTATACAGGGTGTCCTATTCAAAAATCGAAAGTTGGGGTTGCTTCCGGCGGCACCGGAAGTGATAGAACAAAAATTGTTTTGTCAATAAATAAGTAATTTGGTATACTTGCTACGTACCAAATTTCAGAATCTGATCTGAAATAATTCAGAAGTTACAGCACTGGACAATTTTTGTGCAGTCCTCTGTATGTCAGAACAAAGGGCAAATCAGATTTTTTGGGCAGACATTTTCATTAGGTGCGGTCTGAATCATCTGAAAAAGACTAAGTGGCGAGGCATATGTCACCTTGAGTCCTTTCTACTAGTCACAGCACGCTCTTATTCCTAGTGAAGAACGTTCAACATCGGTTCACGTACACGGAAGCTACAACTGTTTCAAATCGACTGTGATTTCTATGTGTCCCGTTTCTGGTTATGACCACTTCAATCGTAAAAGACTATTGACACTCGGTATTGGACCGATTTTTGAACAGGTATTTCCTCCAGGTACGCCCTGAATCACCTGAAAGTTAGTTACTGCCAAGGCTAATGCCGCCTGACATGGCCTCTACTGGTTACGATGAACGACGAGGAGCACGCCTACATTTGCTTCTGCGTCCTCATTCGGAGGCTCTGCACAAACTCACTATGACACAAGCTAGTAGATCAAAATCTCATTCCTAGTGAATAAAGTTCCAATCGGTTCACATACACGGAACCTACAACTGTTCAAAATTGACTGAAATCTCTAGGTGCTCTGTTGCTGGTTATGACTACTTTATTTGAAAAATACTATTGACACTCGGTGTGTTAATCCGTCTTTTGATCAGACATTTTCTTCAGGTGCGCCCTGAGTCATCAGAAAGCTACTTACTGCCAAGATATGCCACCTCGCATGTCCTCTACTGGTCACGAAAAACGACGAAGCACGCCTACATCTGCTTCTGCGGCCTCTTGCAGAGGCTCTGCACGAACTCATTATAATACAAGCTAGTAGATTAAGATTGTATTCCTAGTAAATAACGTTCCAATCGATTAACATACACGGAAGCTACAACTTCAAAATTTTTGGGTGTCCCGTTTCTAGTTATAGCCACTTTATTTGAGAAAGACTATTAACATTCGGCATGTGAAACCGTTCTTTGATTCGCCATTTTCTTCAGGTACGCCCTGAATAATTGAAAAGTTAGTTACTGGCAAGGCATATGCCACCTCGCATGTCCTCTACTGGCCATGACAAGCTCTCATTTCTGGTGAAGAAGGTTCAATTCGCGTCCTATTTCAGTGATTGACAACTTTATTTGAAAAATATAACATTTTTGCTTGCCGACTGGTCGTTAGTGTCACGTGACTGATCACACTGACAAATATGAATGATTTCGACCGGTCGCTTTACAAAAACTTCAAAATCAGTAAACTTTACTAATCAATCGGTAATCATCTCTTTTATGAGTCATTGAATTCCTCAAGACCGATTTTATGGATGGAATAATTATTTTGAACTGTACACTAGAAATGATACTACATACACTCTTGTGAATCATCCAGTGATGTAATGCTATTTCTATAAAAATAAAAACAGTTCGAGTTACTCATTTCAGGGCTGTTGATGCCTTGCCACTTTTTTAGGTAACTTGATTGTTTGAGGTTATAAATCATTTCCTTGACCTTGACCGGCCATAAAAAAGCCTTCTTTCTTGGACTTGGATCAGTCGGACTATCATTTGGTGTTATCAAGTTGATTATTTTGGAAATATGATAGATTTTCCGTGTGAATAAGACCGTGGTGTGTCCGAAGTCGACGAAAAAATTTGAAATGCACCTCGGCGAAAAGCTGTCTATTGTCTCGCCAGCTTGCTAGCCTCGGATATCAATTTGCAGGCTCGACTATAACAGACAGTTTCTCGTCCTTGGTACACAAATAACTGTATTGAGCAGACATTTCCTTCAGGTATGCCCTGAACCACCCGAAAGTGAGTCTCCTCTTCTAGTCACGATGAACGACGAGGCGCACGCGTACATCTGCTTCTGCGCCTTCATGCAGAGACTGTGCACGAACTCATTACAATACACGCTAGTAGATTGAGATCTTATTCCTAGTGAAAAACGTTACAATCGGTTCGCATACACGGAAGCTACAACTTTTCAAAATCGACTGAAATCTCTAGGTGTCTTGTTTCTGGTTATGACTACTTCATTTGAAAAAGACTATTGACACTTGGTATGTTAAACCGTCTTTTGATCTGACCCTTTTTTGATATTCTCTTCAGGTGCGCGCCGAATCATCAGAAAGCTAGTTACTGCCAAGACTTATGCCACCTCGCATGCCCCCTACTGGTCACGAAAAAAACTCATTACAATACAAGCTAGTATATTATGATCTTAATCCCAGTGAATAACGTTCTTTGAACATTATAGGGATTTCCTCTCGTGCGCTCCAAGCATAAAAAAAAAGGTACGCCCTGAATAATGAAAAGATAGTTACTGGCAAGGCATAATAATATGCAATCTCGCATGTCCTATATTGGTCATGACAAGCTTTAGTGTTACGTGACTGATCCCAAAGACAAATACGAATGATTTCGACCTCAAAAAATCCTTCACTAATCAATCGATAATCATCTCTTTTATGAGTCATTGAATTCCTCAAGACCGATTTTATGGATGGAATAATTATTTTGAAATGTATAATAGAAATGATACACTCCTGTGAATCATCCAGTGATGTAATGATATTTCTATAAAAATATAAAGAGTCCGTGTTACTCATTTTCAGGACTGTTGATGCTTTGCCACTTTTTCGAGTAATTTGATTGTTTGAGGTTATAAATCATTTCCTTGAACTGCATTTGCCATGAAAAAGCCTTCTTTCTTGGTCTTGAATCAGTCATTCTTGGTGGTCACTTTGATACGGCACAGTGCGAGAGCGGCGATTGAGCTGACAATAACTATCATTTGGTGTTATCAAGTTAATTATTTTGGAAATCTGATAGATTTTACGTGTGAATAAGACCGTGGTGTGTCCGAAGTCGACGAAACAATTTTAAATGCACCTGTCGAAAACTGTCTATTATCTCGCCAGCTTGCTAGCATCAGATATCAATTTGCAGGCTCGACTGTAATCGACAGTTTCTCGTCCTTGGTACACAAATAACTCTTTTGAGCAGATATTTCCTCCAGGTACGCCCTGAACCACCCGAAAGTGAGCTACTGCCAAGGCATGAGCGACCTCGCGTCTCCTCTTCTAGTCACGATGAACGACGAGGCGCATGCGTACATCTGCTTCTGCGCCTTCATGCAGAGACTGTGCACGAACTCATTACAATACAAGCTAGTATATTGAGATCTTATTCCTAGTGAAAAACGTTCCAATCGGTTCACATACACGGAAGCTACAATTTTTCAAAATCGACTGAATACTCTAGGTGTCTTGTTTCTGGTTATGACTAGTTTATTTGAAAAAGACTATTGACACTTGGTATGTTGAACCCTCTTTTGATCAGACCCTCTCTTCACATTTTTATCGGGTTTGCGCTGAATCATCAGAAAGCTAGTTGCTGCCAAGACTTATGCCACCTTGCATGCCCTCTACTGGTCACGAAAAACGACGCGAAGCACGGCTTCATCTGCTTCTGCGGCCCCATGCAGAGGCTCTGCACGAACTCATTATAATACAAGCTAGTAGATTGAGATCGTATTCCTAGTAAATAATGTTTCAATCGATTAACATTTACGGAAGCTACTACTCTTCAAAATCTTCGGGTGTCAAGTTTCTAGTTATGACCACTTTATTTGAGAAAGAATATAAACATTCGGCATGTGAAACCGTTCTTTGAGTCTCCATTTTCTTCAGGTACGCCCTGAATAATTGAAAAGTTAGTGACTGGCAAGGCATATGCCACCTCGCATGTCCCCTACTGGTCATGACAAGCTCTCATTTCTGGTTCAATTAGCGTCCTATTTCACTGATTGACAACTTTATTTGAAAAATATAAAATTTTTGCTTGCTGAGTGGTCGTTAGTTTCACGTGGCTGATCACAATGACAAATATGAATGATTTCGACCGGTCGTTTGAATACAAGAACCTTGAAAACTGTAAACTTCACTAATCGATCGTTAATCATCTCTTTCATGAGGCATTGAATCTCTCAAGACAGATGGAATGATTATTTTGAACTGTTAACTAGAAAGAATACACTCAAGTGAATCATCTAGTGATGTAATGCTATTTCTGTAAAAATATAAGCAGTTTGAGTTACTCATTTTCAGGACTGTTGATGCCTTGCCACTTTTTTGAAAAATTTGATTGTTTGAAGTTGTGAATCATTTCCTTGAACTGCATCGGCCATAAAAAAGCCTTCTTTCTTGTTCTTGCCTTCTTGATTCAGTCGGTCTTAGTGGTCACTATGATACGGCACAGTGCGAGAGCGGCGATTGAGCTGACAATAACTATCATTTGGTGTTATCAAGTTAATTATTTTGGAAATCTGATAGATTTTACGTGTGAATAAGACCGTGGTGTGTCCGAAGTCGACGAAAAAAATTAAAATGCACCTTGTCGAAAACTGTCTATTATCTCGCCAGCTTGCTAGCATCAGATATCCATTTGCAGGCTCGACTGTAATCGACAGTTTCTCGTCCTTAGTACACAAATAACTCTTTTGAGCAGACATTTTCTTCAGGTACGCCCTGAACCACCCGAAAGTGAGCTACTGCCAAGGCATGAGCGACCTCGCGTCTCCTCTTCTGGTCACCATGAACGACGAGGCGCATGCGTATATCTGCTTCTGCGCCCTCATGCAGAGACTGTGCACGAACTTCATGATTGACGGCATCGCGATGACGCAAAAGTTTACCCACTTAGCCGAAGGCCTCATGTACTACGATCCCGAGTTTTATAACTACTTGAAGTCGCATCAGGTGAGAACGAAGTGATTTTCGGCTTTCGAAAAATTCATGAAATAACAATTGAAAGTCATTCGGGTCGATTCTGTTTGCAAATAGCAATATGGTTGTAGAGAAGATATTGCTATCATAGCAAGATTCGAAAAAGTGGAATTCTGATCATCGATTTTTGGCAATATGATCTGTCAATTTCAATGACTTCTGGTCAGCTTTCTTGCTACCTATCTCGGCAACATCAATTTTGTGCTTGCTATCTTATAACAAGGTAGTGGATTCTTTGTTTTTGCACTACAAATTCTTCCAACTGTATGAAAATTCAGAAAATAGTGGATTTAAAACATATGAGAGTTCAGTTGTGTCACAGACTACTCGAAAACCTTTTCTCAAAGTTTAAATTCGTAGAAGAATTATTGAAAAACTTAAAATGGTGATTACAAACACTACTGTGACCAACTTCTTGAAAACCTTTTCTTGAAGTTTCAATTTGAAGAGGAAATATGAGACTACAATTTCGGCACATCAGTTGCCTGATGGATAGCATATCAAGCTATTTTGCTAGAATATTTTCAAAAAATCACGATTATTTTCATCCGGCTTTTAGTGGTTTTCTCATTTCGGGGACATGATTGATTACTTGCCAGTCGCACAACAATACGACCAGATTCAGCAAATACAAAATCTCTCGATTTGAACAATATAATTTTGTAAAATGTCAGCGCAGGACTGACTAATTTGAGAGGTTAGGTAATCATGAACTCTTCTTCTTCATGAAATAATGGCAAAATCGATACCTAACACTTAAATAATGAGTTGAAAACAGTGTTGTCAGCTCAAAAATTCTCAATTTTTCAACAATATTGCTATCACTTGAACTTATAACCAGTCTTGCAGTTACTCTGCAAACAGAATACAGAACTTCATAGCAATATTGTTATATGTTATGATCATAACAATATTATTATCTTAGCAATGTCATAACAAGATCCGAACAGAATCGACCCGATAATCGTTAAACGGACTGTATCGATACATAGATGTATAGAAATTCAAATGGTGTTATCACTTCCTGTTGGAAGTATTTTCAAAATCTCTCGATATATATTTTGTACAAATGGCGATGTGTGGGAGAATCTTGCTAAATTTCTGAAGTTTCAAACCAAATTTACAGACAGATTCATTTGACTTCACATTTCCATTTCCACAATTTTTGGTTAACATGGAAACGGTGAGTTATATTTTCGATTTTCAATGGCGAATTCAAGAACGGCTTGAGTCCTAACCCAAGAAAATCGTGAGATAAAAATTTCTTTACTCACTTTTGGTACATTGAATGAAACGAATTTTCGGATTTTCAAATAATCTTTCACTCACTGGACTAATATAATATTTTTTAATCCCCTACTATTATTTTGATTCAACGGTATTCAGATGACAATTGAAAAGTGAATGTTCACAGCCTCCATCCGTTAAGATTGTTTAACGGTCGGCGGTTGTTAACTGTTCCAGGATTTTTCTGTAGAATTACGAGGAATGTGGTTTGTTCTTTCCTCGGAGAATCAAAATGATATCGGATTTGGTTAATATTCAACCTCATTCGTTATTTCCTACCTAACGACCTTGTAACATTAATAACTATATCAAAATATAGTGCAAATATTAATGGTTCATACTCACAGCTAAAATCAACATTGATTGTTAGAGAAAACATCAATATATCAGCATTCAGTCAACTAATGGCCTTTCTGAAAGTTGAATCAAAAGGATACATTCCTAATGAATCAAAGGTGTTGAACAAGTATTACTTTTCATAAGAGAAGCTCCACATGATACTTTTCTGCTACATAATGTTGTTCTGGTAATGGGTGTATTTGGAAGCTCAAGACGTGATGAAATGGTCAAGATGACAATTGATGACATTGAAGACAGAGGAGCCGTTTTATAGATATAGGTACCAGAAACCAAGTCCAAGAAAGTACATTGCACTACGACCAAAAGGATGTGAATAACGTTAATAATGATAAATGCATTGATTTAACTGTAGGTAAAAATACTATTCGCGATCGTCATTAGATGACATTGCGATGACATTGAAAAATTCAGGAGAACAACCTAATCCCTGGCATAGATTGAAAGATATTAGACTTGTTTTCCCCTAGTTTGTAATGTCATCAGAACGTCATCTATCGACTTTGGCGACCGCGAATAGAAAGTGTCCTTTCTATCAAAGCGAAATACTTTAATTTGGATAGCCGGAAAGGTTACACCGGACATTGTCTACGCCGAACGTCGTCAACGCTAAAATAACATGGAAAGTGTAAGAATTACGGTAGCGGAGATCTATATTGAAGAAAGTAAATCCTCGAAGAACAAAATTGCTGCAATGATAGCCCATTCCTTTTCCGAAAAAGAAAATGTTGATGTTCCGAACGAAACCGAATGCACATTGAGGAGTTCTTCATCGGTCAACTCACAGAACTTCTACTTGGTACTAATTATTCATGAACATTTGAAAATTGTAATTTATATTTGAGAGAAAATAGTTATTGAGCCCTTTTTTATGTACTGTACTTTTCTGAATAAGTAATTTATTGAACTACAGAAAGAACCAATTAGCGACTGTTATGATTCATTATGCCATCCATAACGGCATAGGGCGTTATGGGTCTGTTGATAGCAACCGTTGCCAATGTATTATAAAGCAGTCCTGGTCAAGTGAAAAATAAAATATTTTTTGCTCGACAAAGTAGATAATTTTGAGCAGTATATTATGAGAAAAAAATACAAATCGCCCTAGGAATACGAAAGATTAGGGGTGGGGTGGACACAATTGTAACATACAAATATGAAAAGTTTGTCAATGCAACTGACATAATTATCATCATCACTTGATTCAGTTGATGTGTTCATTTCTGAAAAATCGAACTTTGTAAGTAAAACTTGATGATCAACGATCTGGTATCAAGCCCATTGAAGCTGGTGTTCCTCAGAGTGCAGTTTTATCGCCGCTGTTGTACAGTTTATATACTAGCTATTTGCGGAGACCAGTGATGTGCAAGATGCCGATTTTTGCTGATGATTCGGCAGTTCTTGCATATTCGACAAATTTCGAGCAAGCAGCTATGAACCTGCAAAGCTCAGTGAATTCTCTTCAGGAGTACTTCCTAAGATGGAAGATCAAATTGAATCCTACAAAAAACACAATTGGTCGCACTCGGAAGGGAGCGGAGGCCTCCCAAAACCAGAATAGTCCTGGATGGTCATGAGTTGGAGTGGTCTTCACAAGATAAATACTTGTGTATGTGCATTGACAAAAAGCTCACTTGGGCCCAGCACATTGATCAGCAAGTTTCAAAAGCTAAACGAGCCATTGGAGCCCTGTATCCATTTCTAAACAGACGAAGTAAATTGGGTTTGAGACAAAAATTGAATATTTATATCATGGCTATCAGGCCAATTTTACTGTATGCCTCAGTAGTGTGGGGCCACACAGCTAAATCTCATATCACTAGATTACAAACATTACAAAACAGAATCGCGAGAATGGTGACAGGATCTCCTTGGTATGTTCGGAATAACCAGATCGCCAGGGATCTTAAACTCCCTTCAATCGTGTCAGTCATTAGAGAACGAAACATCAAGACTTTCGAAAAAGCTGAGGTTCATGAGAATCAGCTTCTTCGAAATGCAGTTGATTATGACCCAGGTGATCAATCAAAGTTCAAAAGACCGAGATTGTCCATAAACTAGAAAAAATATCGACATTATGACCAAATTTACTATTCTCAAGTTTTTGGTACTTATTTACTCCGTTCAATTCTCAGAATGTATTTCTGAAACTTATTTGGGGCAGAAGGGCTGTTCGCATCAAACTTCATTACCGTTTTTATTTTGTTTCATAATAGATATCAGGATAAGAGGGACTCTTCCCTGGTCTGAATCAAATAAAAGAAAGATCGAATATGACATAATTATCACCATCACTTCGCAGGCCGACGATCTCCTATTCTGCTACCGCTGGCTCCTTCTCGAGATGAAGCGCGAGTTCGCCTTCGAGGACTCGCTACGCATGCTCGAAGTCCTCTGGAGTTCGCTGCCCGCCGATCCGCCCGACAAAGAACTGAAACTCTTCGACGCCATGTTCCTACCCACCACCTTGACGCCTCCTATCAGTCCCCTAGTGAAAACGCAGAGGGAGAACCCCTACACGAAGATCTGCGCCCTTCGCAGGCAGAGTTCTTCCATATCGCTCAGCAACTACAATTCCCGCAAGGTTAGAATAAAATAGAATTTATTTAAGATTGGATACAAAATATAATTTAAGTAAGAATTATGATATTTTCATATTTCCAGGTCGAACTGCCGAAATGTGCAAAGAAAAAAGTTGGGGGAAGAAATGCCCCTATCTCCACTTATTTCCCATGCCCTGATCAAAATTTCGGAAAATTCTTAATATTTCTAAATCGGGCATGAAAAATAATATAGATGTACAACATTTCGTTATCTCAACACAAAGAGTTGCCCATTTCTGGGCTCATGTTTATATGAACTTTTTTCAATATTTTTGCTCCTAGAATCTGTGGTTTAAATCTTTCTATGTAATTTCGGGACACTCTGTATTTACTTTTATCAATTAAATTATTCCACTTTGTTATTGTTAATTGCGGTGCTGTCTGACAGGATTGCTGCGGAATCCAGATTGGTATAATTTTTGACTTGATTATTCGGGGGAATCAATGTTACCAGGTGGCGCTCGGTTTTCATCGTTCCATGTCAAAGCCACGTCAATACAGGGGGAAAACAAACTCAATCCTCCCTCAATCCCATTAGTGTCATCAGCTTGTGTACTGTGTACTGATAAGAGTGATGAATTTTAAAATTTCTTGACATTAATTGTCAATATTCGATCGAAAACGCTAATAATGCCTGTTGTAGATGTTCTTTTGACAGATATTTTGCTCTATTTAGATGGAAAAAGCCGACCAGTAGTGGAAGGAGAAGCAGTTCTCCGTGCTAATCATGTGATTTTGTGTGGGGCAGAAGACTTCAACAAAAGGCACATTTTTGCACTTTGTCTACAAACTTCGGCAATGAAATCTTCCCACATGAAGTAAAATAAAGTCCAGAGGAACTCCTGTAGAACAATGGATTCGTATTTGTTCATGCAAAGCAGGACAATTTGGGTGTTGTAAACATGTTGTAGCTGTTCTTTTATATGTCAATTGATTTGCTCGTCATAATCAGTTTGAATTGTTTGAACTATTTCCAATTCTTCACCCGTTCACTGTTCACTAAACTAATAAAAATGTAATAATGTAAAAAAATTAACCAACTCAACCATCATCACTACCAACAGTGCCAACACTTTATGACATTGACTACAGCTACAGCTAAGCTGAATGCAATGTAGTCTATGCACTTTATCCATAGACAACAGTTTGTTTTCCCCCAGTTTGAAGTTCGTATTATGTAACCTAGATGTCGCCCACTTCGTGAATCTCGCGAATATGCAGCAGTTTCTATTATTTTTTCAAGGTTGTCCAAGTGAAACGGCAAAATCATAGTTTGGACGACTCAATCAGCAAATCTAGACACATTCCCGAGATGAAAGTGAAACACCAAAGTTTAGATGATACAGCTCTGAGCAAAAACAAGAGCATGGAAGTTAGCCCTAGGGAAACCTCCCCGAAATCCGAACTGAGACCAAGATCGGTGTCCCCTTTGGAACAGAAATCGGACTCTGTCCTGCTCAACAACCGACTCAACTCGCAGCAAGTGCTGAGCCGAAAGAGCGCCAGCTTGTCTTCCAGCATGACCAACCTGATAAAAAGCACGAAGCGCTCGGGACATTTCAAGGAACTGAAGGATAAGATAGCGACAGCCAAGTTCTTCTCTTCTTTGGACAGGCTGGACGCGACACACTCGATAAAAGAGGAAGAAGAACGCGGCAGACCGAGAGGCAAGATGGTGCGGAACCTCAACGAGTTCATGAACTTTGGCGCCATGGCCAGAAACAAGATATCGGATATCGAGGCCAACGGGGAGAAACCGAAGATCATGCTCACGAAGTCGAGTTTCGACGACTCGGATCACAGTACCAGCATGGATCACGTGTCCAGCACCAGACTGTACTCGTCCACGTCGAACAGTTGCGAGGGGACTTTCGATGAGACCAGTCCGGACGATTCTCAGGAGTATTTTCCGTTGACTACCTCTGTGACCAGGGAGATGCGGCTGGAGATGGAGAATTTGGACCGTAAAGTGTTCGGAGAAAGGTTCGTAAACGATGTGGTGTCTGATAAGTAATCAACCTATCTTTGTTACCAATTTATTAAGCTGTCTTAAAACCACTTCATTCAATATACTGGTGTCCCATCACGATTAAGACAGGGAATATCTCGGTACTCGAGAGTACTACAAGATGGGCGAGGTGATTGGACAGGTATTGAATAATAGGGAATTTCACCATGGTTTCGCGATTTAGAACTCATACTGGGTGATTTCAGCATTTTTTCAATTTCCTTGCGATTGCGGTTGATCCAGAAAAAAAATTTATTTCTGACAGTGACATTATAAGCTTATATCGTCATAGTTACGATATCTATTATGAGGGTCATAACTCCCTTGGGATGTTATAGATGCTATAATTCCCTCTAACTAAAATTAAATAAGAAATGCATAGCAACAACCACGCAGTAACGTAGCAATAAGGAATCTCCTATTCGCGGTAGTCAAGATCATCATCTGACGTTCTGATGACATTGAAACTATACGGAAAAACATGTCTAACTTCCAATCGGGAAGGTATCTAATGAATGAAATCAGTCAGAAATAAAATTATCTATGTATCACGGGAATTACTGAGCCTCAATAACCTCAGGCAATTGCTGTCCCTCGGGCCAGAGGCCCTCGGGACGCAAACTTTGCCATCGGTAATTAAGGCCCTCATAATTCCCTTAATACATAAATAACTATTAAATTGAACCTAAATTCAAACGATAGCTCGAATGCGCGCGAAATATTGATGGCATTTCATTGGACGAATACAAGGTGCGTCACACCGCTTCATACACTTCGGACGGACATTCTCATTAGGTAAAGGTGAGTTTATACAGCAAATAAAACAAAATAAGGAATAAAATAGGATAAAATAAGAAATCTTGCACGAAATACAAATCTTCCCTTTGGTATATATTCACGTGCACACAGCCCAGCAACACTCACTAAAATAAGAAAGTTCAACATGGGCATCAACATTGAACCGTTCATACAAGAAATAAGTTAAGAATAAGAATTAGAAAAATAAAAGATGACCAACTTTTATCTTTTTATTTTATTTCATTAGGAAAATGATGATGCGCATGACCCAAATGAATTCTGCCACAGAATCTCCATGGAACATGAAACATGAAACGTCATCTCTATAAACAGTGGATTTTATTCCTTATTCCTTAAATTATCTTATCTTATTCCTCATTTTATTTTAATTGCTGTATAAACCCACCTTGATTCGTCTTGTCACCATTCGTCATTGTATTTGTTATTTGTCACTCAATAAAAACTATAATATGACACTGATAGATCACTGAAAATGAAATGAAATAATGAACTATGAACTAGATTTCGAGGTTAATCTTCTTCTTCTATAGTTTGTTTTGTAGCCATTTTTCTCTCAAGTCACAGATCACCCAACCACTCTGTGCTCGAGTTCTGTGTCTGTGGTTTTGTGCAATGCATCCTCTTTGGGTCGTCAGAGGGAGCCTCAAGAAAATACAAGTGACGTCACACCGCGAAAAATGGTCGTTTGGAACTCTCTCAATTTGTAGCACTTTTGAAGTATTAATAATTAAACGGTTGTAAATAAATCAATAGATGAGAGGAAGTGCTATTTGATATACTGAGTCATGTATGAGACCGTTCGCCATATAAAAAGGGCTATTTTCAATCATAGTGAAATTGCCTATTGGCATTCAATTACTTCACTGTATCGTTAGGAACCTGATTTAATTTTCGCAACATTTCTTACGCGTTTCTGATGTAAACAATCGTGTCTATAAGTTGTTCAAAGCTGTTGAATTCCAGAACTCATTTCAAACGTGCTGTCATGGCCGCCATTTGGCAATGTTTTTCGATAAGTCGGTTATTATGCTGTTTCATTATTGGTGAGATAATCTTTCATTCCCACTGATGAAGCAAAGTTGTCAAGTCATCAATTATCATCAAGTTATCGAAAAATTGTTGAGCCCTGTAGTTGAATAAAACTATATCGAAATTAAATATTTCATCTGACCTAATAAGAGGAAACCATGATATTAAAGTTATTAATTTGTGATTGTTTCGAGCAAACTTGTTGAAATATATATTATGCTCCATAACAAAACATCATGTAGATGTTGGCTAGCTAGGCTAGAGACTTGGCAATGCTGTGCTCATCGCTGATAACTGACAAGACAACGCCAACAATCCTGTTGTGTCACGTTCACCAGACAAAATCTCCTCTAGTGTGGATTAATATAATTATTATCAACACAAATTCATCATATGCAGTAAGGCAAAACCTATAAAAGGGATAATTAATTACAAGACAATGGATTTTTTATAGCTAATTAAGAATATTACCAATACATAATTGAGAATTTATGAATTATGAAATAAATCATATTTCTGAAGTTCCCATTCGTATTTCAACATATGGCAACGATGCTATTCTGCCCCTACTTACTAAATCGTGACGTCAGTTTGTATTTGCGGTAAATTCCTGGCCGTTTGAAAATTACCATGGCAATATTGATGATTTTGAGCAAGAAATCTAGAAAAATATGGGATTGGAAGGTAATTGAGTGATGATTCTATTTTGAAAATTAATAAAAAAGTCCACTTGCCTACTGTAATTTTGGGGTTGTGAATTTACACAATCTGTGCTGGTTTTTCTGATATTTCTTTACCCAATGAGCTGTTTGTTTTCGGCCACGTGACATCAGATTCAAAATTTTATATGTATACAGTGTGTCCCACTTACCATGCTCACCATGGGTATCTTTTTAACGGTGAGAAATACGAGGTCGGTTGAATAACACCAAATGTGGAGTTTGTCAAGGCCAACTATATTGTGAAAAAATATTTTGATAAAATCTATTCGTTTTTGTTTTATACGCGAAAAACAGATTTTGATCATTTTCATGTCTCCTCCGTAGCTTCTTTATTAATGAAAACATTCAAATAGAAATTTCACATTCTCATGGCAGTTTTTCGAAGTGATTTCGAAAAAAATATGAAATTTATACCAACTCTTCTATAATTTGAGATATCAGCATCAACTTTAGTTTTTCAAATGTAGGTCATAGCTCACTATGACTTAGTAAGGGGCCAGGTAGCCGTGCGGACAGAGTGTCTATATTCTAATTCGCATTCGCTTGCCGGTCGTGGGTTCGATTCCCGTCGACTGCAGAAATTTTTCTGATGGCCCAAGAAAGTGTTTGGGATCTCACGTTAAAAGGTAAGGCCCCCGTCATTCCTTGCTCGCACAAGACTTTCGAAGACTTCTGAGGGTTGCTCGTAAGGGGGCAACCGAATGACGGATAGAACAATTTTAGAACAATTTTAGTTAAAAATAACTTTTCTTTCTCTTACAGATGATATGTCGCAGTAATAGTTTTGTGTTGATAACAACGGAGTTATCGTCATTTATGCAAAAACAAAAAATTATTTGGAAGCCGCCATCCTGAATTTCTAAATTTTAACAAAAAAATCATGATGTCCGACCTCAAAAACCCCCACTTACCAATTTTGAATGGAATCGGAACAATTCTTGTCCGCCATCTTGGAGCAGCCATTTTTATTATTTCAACAAAAATTTCATGATGTATTGTCACCGAAATTTGGAACACTCGCCAAATTCCAAGTTGATCGGAGTTATGGATTTTTTGTTGAAATTAAAAAAAATGGCTGCTCCAAGATGGAGAACAAGATTCCAAATAATTTTTTGTTTTTGTATAAATGACGATAACTCCGTTGTTATCAACACAAAACTATTACTGCGACATATCATCTGTGAGAGAAAAAAAAGTTATTTTTAACTAAGTCATAGTGAGCTATGACCTACATTTGAAAAACTAAAGTTGGTGCTGATATCTCAAATTCTAGAAGAGTTGGTATAAATTTCATATTTTTTTTCGAAATCACTTTGAAAAACTGCCTTGAGGATGTGAAATTCCTATTTGAATATTTTCATAAATGAAGAAGTTACGGAGGAGACATGAAAATGATCAAAATCTGTTTTTTGCGTATAAAACAAAAACGAATTTATTTTATCAAAATATTTTTTCACATTATCGTTGGCCTTGACAAACTCCACATTTGGTGTCATTTAACCGACCTCGTATCTCTCACCGTTAAAAAGATACCCATGGTGAGCATGGTAAGTGGGACACACTGTATATCTTCGTATTTCTATATTCCTCCTGATGAAACGATTCCAACAAACAATCACTGTAGTCTATCTTATTCGCCTTGAAATTCTCATTCAACTATATATCACAATTCGATATTTGTTCATTAATTGGCTGTTAAATTCCAAAACTAAATTTGAATGCTTTTGACAATATTCAACTGAATGAATGGTAATAATTTGAATTTATATAGTGAATCTATATCCAATAACTCTCTTCTTCTGTAAAGTTTCTTAGTAGGTTCCAAATAGTTTAGTCTGTATACAGGCTGATCCACGGTAGATGGCACATTAGACGTTTCTGGAGAAAGCAACTCTGGATTATTCTGAAAAGTTGGTGCCTTGGATAATAACTTGTGTTCTATCCACCTAAAATATTCTCAATGATGTGATGTTGCCGCTTACAACTTTGATTTTTAAATGGGACACCCTGTATATTATTCCATTTTCAGATTCTTCCTGGAGAGCTGATTTCATTGACCTATAACACTTGGGGTCTTGCAGTAATAATTACAGAGTTCTAGGATGTGAAATATCGAGATTTTCCAACTTTAGGAATTTTTTGTGTCGAAACTATGCATAATTGGTCAAAACGGTTTCCATGTCCCTATTCCAACATTTTATTCACTATCAATTGATATTTAATTGAAATAGATACAGGGTGGTTGAAAATCTCAATTCTGAACCACCCTGTACCTATTTCAATTAAATATAAATTGATAGTACATGAAAAGTTAAGATAGGGACATGAAAACCGTTTTGACCAATTATGAATAGTTTTGGACACAAAAAATGCTTTAAGTTGAAAAATCTCTATTTTTCACACCCTATATCTTTGTTATCATTCCCGCTAGACCCCAAGTGTGATAGATCGATGGAATCAGCTTTTCAGGGATAATTTGAAAAACAGGGTTTTCCATTGAAAAATCAAAGTTGTTGCTACTTTTCAGTATAAGCGGCAACGTCGCCGCGCTGAGAATATTTCAGGTCTATAGAACACAACTGATTATGCAAGGAACCGAGTTTTCGAATTAATCCTACGTTGCGTTCTCCAGAAACGTCTACTTCACCTTTCACCGTGAATTGATAATTTTATTTTGAAGAGTTTTGAGAGGCTTCATAATTGATAGTTTTGTTGATCCCCGAATGAATGATAAAAACCTATTCATAGTAGCTTTCTTACAGGTTCATAGGGAGGCTGTCCGAGTCGCCTAGCACTGAAGATGCCAAGACTGAAAACGACAGTTCAGCCCCCAAAAACATGGGCAAGAAGAAAACCGACGACGTGTTTGTGTGGGAGAACCCCTTGCACCAAACAAGCCCCGGGAATGCGTCGAAAATTCCCACGCGGACTCCCGACGAGCAAGCCGAGCTCGACTACGACGTTCCCAAATCGCCTGTCAAACCTGTCAATCCGACCCTGAATGGCGCCCTACCTTCCATGACCAATTCCTGCGAAGAAGTAACCGAAAATATCAAAACGTTGAATCTCCTGCCGCCTCCCAACGAGTTCGGAGGCGGCAACCCCTTCCTCATGTTCTTGTGCATCACGTTGCTGATGCAGCATCGCGACCATATCCTCAGCAAGGGCATGGACTACAACGAGATGGCGATGCATTTCGACAAGATGGTGCGGAAGCATGACGTCATCAGGGTGCTCAATCAGGCCAGGCAGATGTACGCTCGGTACATCAAACAGCACAGCATCGCGCAGCAGAGGTTGGACGCGAAAAACGAGGACTGTTAGTTTGTCTTCTTCTCTTATCCGGTACTGTGATATTTATTCTTTATTGATACTTTTTTTGTATATAAGGATTAGGTAAGTATACTTGCTTTATGATTTACTGTAGGGGAAAAGTGCGTATTGTATTCCACTCAATAAAAAATTTACTATTTTTCTTATGCATTTTTGGAAAGAAGAGAGAAATAATGAGAAAGAGAAAGGGAGGGGAAGAAAGAGAGACAGCAGAGAAAATGAACATGATAGAGAAAGTAAGGCAGAAAGATAGTAGGAGTTAGAGAGGAACTAGGCGTTAGAGAAAGTGAGAGTGAGAATAGAGAGAGAAAGAGAGAGAGAGAGAACAAAACAACCAGATAAGCTAATATCAAATGGTTATCTCGATGTTTTTCACTGACAAAAATGAAAACAGAACACTTGAACATAGAACCGAATGTGAGAAAGAAATAGATTGTATCTATGCCCCTATAGTTACAACCAATGATAACAATAGGTCGCATGCACGATAACCGACCCTGGAGGTGAAATATTGAAACACAACCTCACTCCTGTGAATGGGTTGCGTGCAAGAACTGTCAGATGACCGACACTGGAGGCAAAACATTGAAACACAACGCCACTTTTCTTACTTGTTTACAAGTGATCAAAATAGTTTTCCACAATTTTTTTGGCATATGAATCGTATTTTTCCGCTATTCATCAATTCGCTCATGCCATCACATTGTGCTCTTGTAAAATGCACAAAAACTGCAGCGGAAGACGAAGGAATCCGGTTGGTACATTATGATTCGAAAGTAAGTACCTACTATAGTCACTCACATATAGTTTTCATTTTTGAAATTTGGTAATTTCTCTGATTTCTCATCGGAATTCCTTCTGCAATAGGAGCTAATAGAAATACTCGTGAAGTTTCTAAAATAATGCAAGAAGATTGGATTCATGCAATCAAATGGGAGGACTGGTCTGACATGCTGAAGAAATATAATATCGTGTGTGTTGTTAACATTTTCAATCTATTAGCAGTATTAGCTTATATTGCAGAAGTGGCAGAAGGCATAAATAAGGAATGACAATATTCCATAATGAAAACTATGTGAGATTACTATTCACCTGAAAAATCATATTCCTTCGTCTCTCGTTGCATTTCTTGTTCATTGTACAGGGTGAGTCATTAGTGTGGCAAAGTGAGCTAACGACTTTACTGTTTGAGATAGATGAACAAAAATTTCAGAGATGATCTCGGAAAATAAGTAGCACATGTCCAAATTATTTCGATTTATACAAGGTGACTGAGAAATGCGTGGCGTATCAAAGTTATACGTTTTCTTATGGGACACCCTGTATTTCATTGTATTTTCGCATTCTCCTTTGTGAGCTGATTTCATCAATGCATTACACTTGGGGTCTAGCGATAATGATTACAGAGATATAGGGTGTTCAAAATCGAGATTTTTCAACTTTAGGATTTGTTTGTGTGGAAACTATTCATTATCGGCCAAAACGGCTTTCATGTCCCTATCCCAACTTTTGATTTACTATCTACTGACATTCAATTGGAACAAATACAGGGTGGTTCAAGATTCAGCATTCTGATCACCCTTGTATCTGTTCAAATTAAATTTCAGTAGACAGTGAATCACAAACAAATCCTAAAGTTGAAAAATCTCGATTTTGAACACCCCATAAGAAAAAGTATAACTTTGATACGCCACGCATTTCTCAGTCACCTTGTATAAATCGAAATAATTTGGACATGTGCTACTTATGATCCGAGATCATCTCTGAAATTTTTGTTCATCTATCTCAAACAGTAAAGTCGTTAGCTCACTTTGCCACACTAATGACTCACCCTGTACAATGAACAAGAAATGCAACGAGAGACGAAGGAATATGATTCTTCAGGTGAATAGTAATCTCACATAGTTTTCAATATGGAATATTGTCATTCCTTATTAAAATGCCTTCTGCCACTTCTGCAATATAAGCTAATACTGCTAATAGATTGAAAATGTTAACAACACACACGATATTATATTTCTTCAGCATGTCAGACCAGTCCTCCCGTTTGATTGCATGAATCCAATCTTCTTGCATTATTTTAGAAATTTCACGAGTATTTCTATTAGCTCCTATTGCAGAAGGAATTCCGATGAGAAATCAGAGAAATTACCAAATTTCAAAAATGAAAACTATATGTGAGTGACTATAGTAGGTACTTACTTTTGAATCATAATGTACCAACCGGATTCCTTCGTCTTCCGCTGCAGTTTTTGTGCATTTTACAACAGCACAATGTGATGGCATGAGCGAATTGATGAATAGTCGAAAAATACGATTCCTATGCCGAAATAATTGTGAAAAACTATTTTAATGACTTGGAAACAAATAAGAAAAGTGAGGTTGTGTTTCAATGTTGTGCCTCCAGGGTCGGTCATCTGACAGTTCTTGCACGCAACCCATAGTTGAGCAAAAGAATGAGGTTATTTTATGTATTTTAATGACAGGAATTGAAAAACAAACAGTGAAGAACAACTGGATAAGGGAATAATATAGAAACGAATGTATGTAGTAAGAAGAAAAAGAAAGAGAAAGCAAGATAAAGATAGAAAAGAAACGAATGTATGTAAAGTTTAGTACGAAGAATCTGCAGTTCCTCTATTACTTTTATAACGCAATATTTTGAAATGTAAAATGTAGTAGAAGACAGAATCATATGATTTCCAATGCTGGTAAATGAAAAACTTTTATGTTTATTACTTTTATTATAAAAATATTCTGAGAAAAATATCAATATACTTACTATACAAATTTAATACACAAGTCAGTTCATTTGAAAAATCGAACGTACAGGGTGATACACCATTCTTCTTCTCCGAAATCTAAACTCAAATTTGAATACAAAAGTTGTATGATTTCATTTATATTTCATCAATATTGACCACATAAGTGGCGTTAAACAAGTTTATAAAAAATACAGGAAGCTTCTTGACGTTCTATTCGATTTCGAAAAATAAATTCAAAAGCTTTGCTATTTTGAATTTATTCCTGAAAAAATTAATAAAACATTTTTTGAGTTTATTTAACGAAATCAGATTTGAACATTTTCTAGGTTCCTATAAATTTACTGTTGGTTCTAGAAAATTTAGATGAAAAATGCACTTAATTGATTTGTTTTATAATTTCATCAGTGGTTTGAGGCGTGAAATATTTGTGACAGTTATTGTGTTTCTCAAAACTTGAAGTTTTGATTTTTGAAATTGGATGAAAAATATAGATGGAACTCTACAACTTTTGAAGCAAACAAAGGAGTTTGGGGTAAGAGTCAAAATACAGGGTGTCTAATTTGAAGGGAAAGTGGATTAGCTGCTGATTCCTGAACTAAAAATAGACTGATTAGACCCTTATGAAGTTACTGCGTTTCATTTAATTGCTAGATGGAATGAAATATAAAAATTTTGATGAGGGACCTTCAGCGATTCACTGTTGAAAATCAACCATATCATCATCATAAGTGATTTCTTTCGGTCTGGTAATATTGTTAATTGCTGACATTCAAACTGCAAACATTTTCAAACCTGCAGCGGTTTTGCCGAAAATTGATTCCCAAAATTTGTTGTCTATTGAAAAATCAGTCAGCATAATGAAAGCTTTTGATGAGGAGTAAAAGATTTCAAATAATAATAACCATAATGAAAAATACCCGAATATAAAAAACCAATGTCGAAAAAGAATCAATTGATTTTCAATAGTGCTGTAACGAAATCAGCTGATCGGCTGACAAAACGTAGTATTGAAACAAATTTCCATTCGATTCGAGCGATCGGATTCACTCATGCCCCACCCTGTATACTGGGTGACACAGGTTAACGAGCCATCTTTGTAACTTCTACATTTGTGAACGGATTTTTCTGAAATTTCGTACAGTTATATAGCAACCATTACGGATATGATTACAAAACAATCCAATATGGCGGACTTCCGGTTTCTCTGGAAATACAAGCAGCTTTGTTTTTTCAAAAGAAATACCCTGAATATTTTTACGTATTTATGTTCAACAGGTCAAAACAAGTGCAATCTTCACTTCTTTTTTTTTCGAAGAAATTCAAAATGAGGTTGTTTTTATTTTACCTTGTGGATAAATGAGATGTGGTAAAGGCTATTCACAATGAGTCGCACATAGAGAAACATAGTTTTTCACGATTAGTTAAGCAAGACTCAGAAATGTTGTTTTCCACAGCTTACTAAGTTGAAAATTCAATCGAACTGCAAGGAAATTCATGAACTAGTTGTTGATTTCTGAATGTATACAATTTGTTACTGCACCGAAATACAAAAATGATATGTCACTCTTTTTCTTAATGTATGTTCTAGAGAGACATGTAGGTGGACCATAGGGATTTCATTTGAAAATATGTTGTGACTGGATTGATTCATAGATAAGTCAGATAAGTGACACGGAAACTGTTTTTTTTAATTATGTCTCTGTTGTGTGTGACTCATTGTGAATAACTGTTAACCACTAGGTGAAATAAAAAAACTATTTTAATCAAATGTTTTCGAAAATTTTGAAATATACAGGGAATTCCGCCATATTGGCCACGTTTATATGGATAGTTGGTATGCTTACCAAGGAGATCTAACCTTAGTTAACGCATGTTCACACCATGTATCTTTAGTTGACTAACATTACCAACTTTGTTTTGATTTGATTATTTTTTTGAGGTTAGGTTGTGGAACTCCACTTGAATTCGTAAATTAAGAATGAAACCTTTTAGTAGGATACGAAATCAGCTGAAATAGAATGAAATATTATTATGAGAACTCATGAAATAACTGCCACTTGCACTCAAGTCAATTCGAGGCTATACAAAAGTAGACCAAAATGTTTACACCGTCTTGGTCATCATACTATTTCTGTCTGGTAGGCAACAAATTTCGGTACCAGACCAAGCTGGTAACTACGAAGTAGTAATCAAAATATAGTAATTAGTCAGCTTCCCAAGATACGGTATAAACGTGGCCATTGTTTTGTAATGTGATCAAATCCGAAATGGTTGCTTATACAAGGTGATTCTAAAATAGGTGGTCAAACTTTGGGAGCATATAGAGTGGGTGAAATTGTTACGAAAACCTCCGTAACATTTTTTTCTGAAGTGACCC